TTAAATGGCTTTCCGGCTGCTGTCCTTTCCTTCCATGACATCTCTCTGGAAGTCAGACACAGCTGATGGAGCTGTAACTTGTTATATAGTGGGTGAAGGGGATGCTAATCTGGATTATTGATTACTGAGAATCTGGTGGGTCATCATGGCAAAGATAGTGTGGGCCTGGGCCTCACCAGCATACGTCCTAGCCACTCCACTCCCCAAGGGACATGGAACAGCTTCTCTGAGTCCCAGTTCCTCTCCTATGAAATGAGATTCACACTCTTTACTTCTCAAGGTATCTTAAGAATAAATGAGATGATCTGTAAGGAAGGCCTCAATAAGTTCCTGATACATATTAGGCCTCAGAGTGATGGTGGGTCATCAGAGTTATGACCCTTCCTTCACCCCCCTATGGTTTTAGGATAGGGATAGTGACAGCACACCTTTAAACAGAATTGCAGTGTTCTAGTTTGCTTCTCTCTTGCTGTGATAGAGCACCATGACCAGAAACAGTTTAAGGAAGGAAGTATAGTTCCTAAGTGCCAGAGTTGATAGTGGCAGCAAAGGCATGGCAGCAGGACCAGGAACCTGAGAGATCATATCTCAGTAGCACACAGAAAACAAGAAGAAGGGCTGGAGAGATGGCTCAGAGGTTAAGAGCACCAACTGCTCTTCCAGAGGTCCTGAGTTCAATTCCCAGCAACCACATGGTGGCTCACAACCATCCGTTATGAGATCTGGTGCCCTCTTCTGGTGTGCAGATACACATGGAAGCAGAATGTTGTATGCAAAAAAAAAAAAAAACTTTAAAAAAAAAAGAAAACAAGAAGAAGAACTGGAAATATGTCGTGAGGCTATAAATTCTCAAGGCCCATCCCCAGCAATGTATTTCCTGCAGTAAGGCTCCACATTCCTAAAAGTTACATAGCTTTCCCAAACAGACCCACTGGCTGGCGACCATGTGTCATGAGCCTATGGGGGACATGTCTTGTTCAAAAACAACCACAGTCAGTATGTCAGATACCATACAGCTCTCGGCTCATGGATTCCTGGGACAGCCCTTTGAGGTTGATGCTATTATCATCCCCATATTACAGATGAAGAAACAGACAGGAGGTTAAATAAGTTGGCAGCATCATAAACTAAATGGCTCAGCCAGGACCTGGACCAAGGCAATTGAGCCCAGCCTAAGCTGTCTTGCTTCTCACTTGGGTCCAGTATGCTCTCATTACGTGGAAGTTATTGATCTGGCCTTTTTCTGGGAGGGTGTGTGTGAAAGTCTTCCTTTGTAAGATCTCTTATCCAAGCTCCTGGCAAGGATTTAAGTCTTGAGTCACATCTTCAGAAAAACAGCCTTAGCTTCCTCAAAGCCAAGACCCATCAGCCCCTCACCAAGTTCAGAAAAGGTTTGCAGCTTGTTCTTTTCTTTCTAGAAACAGTAGGGGCACCCGTAGCAGACAACAACCCACAGTGGAGCTTACTTCCCACAAACAACATGATAGGAAGGTTCTTAAAGAAAGATGGATATGGGTAAGGTGGCTCAATGATTAAGGACCCATGTGATGGAAGGAGAAAGCTGACTCCTTCATGTTGTCTTCTGACTTGGACATACTGGGCCCATTGTGTAGGAGTGATCACACATGCATAGCCTTGTGGAGGTAGGGGGTGTGGGGGGGGGTGTTTCATGAATGGTAAAGGCCTTCTTGGATAGAAAGATAAGGAATTCTCCTCTTCATAGGGGCCTGTATTGCCATGGACCACAGCACAGCCATAGCTCTGGGTGTTAGTGAAGTTCATTGGGGCTATAGTTCCATGGACCAATGTAGTGGCATCTTGTTCCACTAGTGGACTTGGTGTGGTAGCCACACCCTAAGGTGTGGCTTCAGTGTGTTCAGACGTCACCCCTTATAAGGAAGAGGAGGGGCTGCCTCACTCTCTCTTGGGTTATGGTTAGAGCATCGTGAAGGGCAGAGGCTGCAACTTCAGGAGCAGAAGACCACGGCGGTTATTTACCATCATTGTGTGAGTGTTCCCCAAGTAAATACCTGTTAATTTTTATCTGAGTATTTGTGGACTTTTAACCCGCCATCACTTGGCGCCCAATGGCACCACCCTGGACAGGTAATCCTGGCCCTCCCTAGCTGCCTTCTCAGCTCTTTTAAGGAAGAAGATGCCACTATAGACATCTATAGATGCCACAACACAGCCATAGCTCTGGATGTTGGTGAAGTTCATAGGGGCCTGTATTGTCATGGACCACAGCACAGCCATAGCTCTGGGTGTTGGTGAGTTCATTAAAATAAATTATTTTAGATCATTTTCATTTTGAATTTATATAAACCACAAATTAAGTGATTGTGAACCACATGAATCTACAAATCTACAAAAATCTATATTTATGATGTAAGCTATGGCCTCTGTAATATGCCAGTAATTTATAGTTTGCAGGAGGAGGAAAGGCTCAAGGCTCAGGAGTGATAAATCCAAAAAGACCTTGGGCCTTATCTCTTCTTCTTGCTTCTTACCTTGTGATGTTGGTCAGGTTTCTTCATGAGTCCCATCTATGAAATGGACTGCTGAGCCTGCCCTGTAGGATCCAGTGAGGAGCACACAGTGGGCAGGTAGTAGACACAAGAGAAAGTCCTAAAAGCCATGCAAAGATACATGCTGATTTCAATAGAAAGACCTGGACAAAGGCGTTTCAGAGTGTGGTAGGGAGTTGCTTTCAGGACAAGGGGGCTCTTAGCTCCTCTGACTCTCCTGGAAGTTGTGGAGAGTGGAAATTAAAATAAAATTTTAAAAAAAAAAGTGCAAAGGAAGGAAAGTGACCTAAAATTCTGTCTGTGTCAGCCAGGCCTTGGTTCTCACTGTGCAGGAAAGGAGGACAGGCCAGCCAGGTGACTTAGGACGACTCGATTAAAATTACTGCATGTAAAAGGCTCTTTCAAGTTCTACAATGTGTTGTAATTACAATAGTCTCAGAAAAACATGGATAGTAAGAAATTGAAAATGTTTTATGTATGTGCAACATTTTAAGTTATAAAAAATAGCCTTTATCAGCTTGCATCTGTCTGTAACCTGAAACCCATGGCGAAAACACTAATGTATATAAAATAAAATTGGAAAAAAATTTTAAATAGCCTTTATTATATAGAAATTTGAAAAATACAGGAAAATACAAAGGAAAATTAAGGCATGCATAATCCCATTATTACAGTATAACTACAGTTCACATTTTAGAAACAGCTTTCTTATCATTGCACTTTTCTATACATTTTACAACTATAATTATCCTATTAAAATTGTGCGTTAGGGTTTTTAAATAGCATACCATAAACATGTTTTATAATTAAGTATCTTAGAATTATTTTTAATGTCTCTGAAGTATTCAACAATATTTTACTTAGTAGGCTCTCTGTTATCAAATCTTAAGTTGTTCCCAATTTTGAATATCATAAAACTATTAGATATTAGTATCTTGTGTTGGGGGATTGCTTCTTGGATCTCCATGGGCAACAGAATCTGCAGGTGCTCAGGCACCTCCCATAAATGGTATAGTGTTTGCATAGCATACTCTCCCAAAGACCCTGATCTCTGGAGTACATGTAGTACCTGGCACAGTGCACAGACTCTGTATGGGTGGTTGCTGCATGGATGATGAGGAATAATGAAAATTAATCAGTATACTGTAGACACAACTTTCCCCAAGTGTTTTCAGTCTTCAGTGGTTGAAAACACACAACATAGATACAGGGGGCTGGTGTTTATAATTAAACTTGATACCTAGATCCTACTGTAAATTTACAGAAGTAGGTACATGGCTCTGACACATTGCTTCTGGGCTGTTGGAAATGGAGGCCTAGATTCTTCCAGGAGCTCTGCACTGCCTCTGCTGCCATCCTCAGCTCTCTCACATCTCCTTCTGTCTGGCCAAACACACCTTTTATTGTCAGAGCAATGAGAGTTACCTCTGCCTCTTACCTTTTTAGTAACCATGAACAAATTACCGGCACAGTTTTGAATCTGACTTTTTGACCCATTAGGCATTATCTGAGAACATCATTGGTATTTAGGTTGACAAAGAAACAGTGAATAAATGTATAAAATGTTCTACTGTCTTTTTAGATCTGCTGTAACCCTTCGGTGCAATGGGATGGGTAGAATTCTTGGTTACCAGAATACTGAACCCATGTCTATAATATAGTTTCAACAGAAGTCTCAGTAAAAGCATGAACAGCTGATAGATGCTGCCTTTTCATTACCAAGTTTCAACAGATGTCTCAGTAAAAGCATGAACAGCTGATAGATGCTGCCTTTTCATTACCAAACCCAGAGCCTGAGATTTACTCTGTAACATTCATGTTTTTTTATTTCTTTGACATTTTTGAACTATCAGAGTTCCACACATACTTTATTTCTGATTGTAATTGGTTAGTGTGCAGTGATAATTATTAATAAGTACCTTGGCAGCAGTGTCTTGTGTGGAGTCAGTGATTCCTAAGCCAGCAGGTGTTTTGTTCGTTTGTTTGAGACAGGGTCTCTTTACACATTCCTAGGTGTCTCTAGCTTGCTCTGTAGACCATGCTGGCCTCAGACTCCCAGAGATCCGCCTGCCTCTGCCTCTGCCTCTGCCTCTGCCTCCTGGGTACTGGGATTAAAGGCGTGTGCCACCAAGCCAGCTCTAAATCAGTGTTTTATCCATGACATCTTGGTCTTCATTGTACTTGTTGAGGTGTGAGATCCAGAAACAGTTCCAAAAAGGATGATAATCCATTCCGTAAAAGAGAAGGGGTCAATTGTTTGTGCCTCTAGTTCATTCTGACTCAAACCTTACCTGGTTTGGGAAGAGCTAAAAAAGATGGCTAGAAAAGTCAGTTTCTGCCATCTAGGATAGTTACACGATTGAGACAGACATTATTATTTTCCTTTGGCTTTCCCTGATGTGTGATCATTTTTCAGTGTTACATTCACCATTTCAGACTTCCTCCCCTCCTCCTGCCCCTTTGATCTTCCAGGCCCTCAGTACCGCCTGGAGAAGCAGAGTGAGCCTAACATCGCAGTGGACCTGGAGAGCACACTGGAGAGCCAGAACGCCTGGGAGTTCTGCCTGGTCCGAGAGAACAGTACGTTGGCTGCCTCGCTCTGTGCTGCTTTGTCTGTTGCAAACATGCTTAGTAGTTATGTTGTTGAGAGTACTTGCTGGCCTGGCTTCCCTAAGCAGATGAAAAGTGACTGTTTTCCAAGGCAGACCATGGCTCTGTTTACAAGTGTGTCCCAAAGCAGAATGATAGATTCTGTGCTGTTGGGTAGTCTGCATCCTGTTTAGCACTTTGTGATTAATATTTTGCTCTTGAACTACATCTTCCTAATTTTGGAACAGCCCTGGAAACAGCTTAGAAACGAGAGGTTCTTTCTCAGCCAAAGTCTCTTTTGTGTATACAGCAATGGGCCTTGTCAGTGTCAACTGCTTGATACCATATTTTAGAAAATTTTAACCACTTGAATATTCTCAGCAGAAGGTGTCACAGTGACTCCAAGTGCCACCATGAGGTCTGAATTTCTTTCCTTCCTGTCTACAGAGTTTCTGAGTTGTGAGGTTTGACAAAACCTTCTGCTAGATGCTCCCCAAGTAGGAGGAGATAACCTTCTCACAGCCACTTGTGCTCCAAAGCTGTTTCTTCTGCCTAAAGTGCTCTTTCCTTCTTTCTTACTCATCCCCATCCTTGTCTCAGTTTAAATGTCACATCTGTTGAGATAGTCCTGTCACCCAAACCTGGGTCATTTCTCATCTGGGCCCCCAGGATGCTATGCCAAAGTATTCTGCTCTTTTCTTCATGTCATGTATTTCTGTTGCTTATTTTGCTTAATAACTGGCTAATGTTTACCTCCCCCACTGGATTATACATCTGCAAGGGCATTCCTGACCCATAATAGTTGCTCCTCAGTAACTTAGCAGCCTGCCAAAAACTACATACTATAGGAGCTCAGGAAAAATAGACCAGATAAGTGAGTGAATAAAAGCTCTTTAGTCCTGCCACTCATTCTTAATGAAGACCAGACTGCTCCTTGACCAGAGACCTTGACTGCCTTTTCTGGAACATCATGCACACATTTACCAAGAAGGGGAAATGTACTTTGGGCATTCAGAGAAAATTCTCAGGTAAAGGTTGATGGCCTCACCATCTGCAGTTGGTTATAAAAATCCTATGGAAGAACATACAAATTTAAAAATCATTGACACCTAAATTGTCTTAAGACACTTTAGATAAGTAGTAAATATTCATAAATATGTATTCTCTCAAGAATATAATGCATAAGTATTTTCATGAAAATCTGGTTCCCTTTACCAAATAAAGCAGGTTATTTCAGAAGCATTCCTCCTGAACTGGACATGGTGGTGTGCAGCTGTTATTAGCACATGGGAGGCTGAGGCAGGAGAGTCAGGAGTTCAAATCTAATATAAATGATAGCTGGGTGTATAAGAGGCCTAAGAATGTTGCACAAGATTTCCACTTTGAAGAATCTACCCTGAGAAAAGACCTAAAATGCAACAAAGATTTGTATACATTATGGTTTTCACAGTATTGTTTCTGATTAGGAAAGTCATAGCTTAGTACTATCCCTGTATTGGGGATTTATGGCATTTCTTAATAACTGGCTTGTGACAGTAAAACTAGTCTAGAAATCAGGAAAAGGGTGAGAAAATCTGCATGCATTTGGAAATTGAGAATTAAGTTTCTAAGCCTGGTGGTAAAAGAAATAAGAGAAATTAGAAAAATTGGGGGGATAGCTTAGTGGTAGAGTGCTCAACTAGCATGTGTGGGAACTTCGGTTTGTCCTAGTTGTACAAAACAAACAAAACAACAAGAAAATATTTTGATGAAATAATGAAAAGCCTATGTGTTAAAAGCTGGAGAGATGGCTCAACTGTTAAGAGCACTGCCAGAGGACCTGAGTTCAATTCTCAGCAACCACATGGTAGTGGCTCACAACCATCTGTAATGCCATCCAGTGCCATCTTCTGGCCTGCAGACAGAACACTATATAATAAATAAATAAATATTTAGGAGCTGGAGAGATGGCTCATAGGTTAAGAGCACTGACTGCTCTTCCAAGGGCCTGAGTTCAATTCCCAGCAACTACATGGTGGTTCACAACCATCCGTAATGAGATCTGGTGCCCCCTGCAGGCGTGCAGGCACACATGGAGACAGAACATTGCATACATAATAAATAAATAAATCTTTAAAAAAAAAATAAATATTTAAAAAGTTATGGATATGGTTACAGCAGCATGTAAGGAAGTGTTACAGCCTTCCAATTAATATATTACAAAAGAAAAGTAATGAACTGAGCATTCAGCTAAAAAAAAAAGGATGAAAGAAAGAAAAGAAAAGAAAACCGGAAAAGAAAGCCTAAGAGACAAAAAAGGAGGCAACAAAGATCATAAATTACTGAGCTAGAAAACTCAGAAACACCAAAAGGACTGATACAATCAGTAAGCCTCTTTTGAAATCATCAGTGTCAAGGAAGAAAAATACCATAGGTAGGCATGAAAGATCCCACATCGCTAAACATCTAGTACAAGGCGTGTATGTGTGCATATATGTACCTATGTGGGGTTCCCTTTCCCATACAGATGCATGGGAAGCCTTTGTCCACAGTCACTCTCCTTTATGTTTTATAGCAGGGTCTCACTGAACCTGGAGCTCATTACTTTGACTGACTGGCCATGAAGGCCCAGAGATTCTTTTGTCTCTGGTCCCCATGCTTGCACCGCTGGTACTTTACCCACTAACCCAACTCCCCAGCCTATACAAGATGATTAATGTAGATGAAAGAATGAATTCCTGGAAAAAGTCAACATCAAAATTGGCACAAAAAGAAATGGAAATGTTGTGGCCAATTTTAAAAAGTTGGATCAGTGATTGAAAACCTTCCACAGAGAGAACCCAAGCAAACTGTGGTGGGACACTTGAGAATAAAGAAGCCCACTCGAACCTGCTGTCCCAGAGAGATTGCGCTGGAGCTTATGGAAGACATGAGGCGAGTGTAACCTTGGTGCAACTCTGTGACCACACAGACAGAAAGAGTCTTAGAGAGATCCAAAAATCCCAACAGTCAGTAACATGCCAAGTCCAATATTTGGTTAGAAGAATCACATTCTGTTGCCAAGTGGGTTTACTCTAGAATGCAGAATTGGTGATTTGCTGCAGTAATGGTAAAAGGAGAAGAAAATGTAGATACAGAATTTTATTTATCTATTTATTATTTCTGCCATTAAAAGTTGTGTTTCCAGGCTAGAAAGATTGCTCAGCAGATTAAGAGTGCTTGTTGCTCACGAAGAGGACCTGGACTTGATTCCTGACATTTAAGTCTGGCATCTCACAACAGCCTGTAACTCCAGCTTCTGGCCTCTTAGAGCACCTGCATATGTGTGTTTGTGCCACACACATACACACACAAAGTACTTAAATATAAGTTGTGTTTAGCAAGTTTGGTGATGAAAGCAGTCGTGTTGGTGACATCAAAGGGAAGAAATGGCAGGGACGCACTGGGACTCCTACAGATACATCCCATTACATGAAAACAAAGGCAGCATTGCAACAGTGGTGGAGTGAGCTCTAAATGGCTGTCTCTGCTAGGCCATTCATTTTCCTTTCTCTTGGTTCCTATTTACATGTTCTCGAGTTTCTAAAGGAGGAAAAGGTGAATGTGACATAAAGGCAAATTCTCATGGTAAACATGTCTTCCTGTGGCACTCCTGAAATAACTCAGCACCACGCCATGGAGTGCCAAAGGAAGAGCTAGCTGCTTTTTTTCTCCATTGTCCTGTCATTCTTTAAATATTTTCTTTAGCATACTTGGGCAAGTGATTGACCAGTAGGAACTTCATAGGGGGACTCTGTTTCATAGTGTTGACATCCCAATAAGTCACAAACAAGAAAGTGTGCTTACTTAGTAGTATCTTGGTGATTTGGGGGTAGGGGATATGTTCACATTTTTACTTGTAAAAAGTATTTTCTTCCTCCTCCTCCTCTTCCTCCTTCCTTCCTCCTCCTCCCTCCTCCTTCATCATCATCATCATCATTAAACCAAAGTGTAGGAATAAAGTTTTGCTTCTTCCATCCTAGATGTCCTCCCAGATATAACAGGTGTCTCTTCAGGGCTGGTCTGTGCACGTTCACATGGAAGTGAATAGTTATGTGTGTATGCATGTACACATGCACACATCCATGTTTGTATTCCCTCCTTAAAACACACAAATGATGACTTTGCTGCATTGTTATTTTATCATCTTAAGGATGCACTGTAGGTTACTCTGCATTGATTCACATACTCTACATGTAAATTTTGTGTTCCTAAACTGCTGCTGTTACTCCGTAGCTTATATGATTCAGATTGCACAAAAGGTGTGAGGATTAGTGAGTAAGTCTTTAACATCTAGGCCCTAGCTCATACTCCACAGCTAAGCAAGAACATAGTCTCCTTTAACAGTGCCACCTTCTTGAGCCCCAGCAGCACTTTCCCCAAGGCTTCACCATTTGTTCCAGTTGTGGAGTTGTGAATCAAAACTGCTAGGTATGAAAGAAACCCCCACTGGTGTTTACAAATAATAAAGGCAGAAAGCAGTCAAAATGCAGTGGACTGTTGTAACTTAGTTGTATAAAATAGGTGCAGATTTTGAAAAGCAGTTATTACTTTCACAGAAAATGTTTAAAAAGCTAACTATAGATAGAGATCCCAACTAAGAACCATGTATTGTCGTCTACTAGCCATCTACTAAGAAGTTCAGTCAACAAAACAATATTTTAAAAATACTTCTTTTGGGGGGGTTGGAGAGATGGCTCAGAGGTTAAGAGCACTGACTGCTCTTCCAGAGGTCCTGAGTTCAATTCCCAGCAACCACCTGGTGGCTCACAACCATCCGTTATGAGACCTGGTGCCCTTTCTGGTGTGCTGATATACATGGAAGCAGAATGTCGTATAAATAATAAATAAATAAAATCTTTAAAAAAAAATAAAAATACTTTTTCCCACTGTTTTTGGTATGTTTGATCAGGCCTGGCTCACTATATCCTTCAAGAGCCATGTTCAAAGGGAGCCAAGAGAAGTCCATTGGA